ATAAATATCATCCCTGCCACATCCCCGGTCTCAGAATATTAGATTTTTCCGACGGTTGATCAGTGGTCAAAAAACAGGAGAATGACAGTTCAGCCTAGGGTCAGAATTTTTAAGCCCAAAATACAGTTGGGGTGGGTGCCAGATCAAAATTAATGCCAATTCACAGGTGGAAATTGGTGTATAGAATGAGGGGTTTTGACATTTTGAATGTTTATAGCTCTGCAGTGGAATTAGGACTTATCCGTACTTTTTCGGTCAAAAAACCCTGAAAATATAGTTTTCAAAACTGCACCAGAAAAACTAGGAACCAGTCCATTTTCCCCGCAAAACCTTTCTCAAAACCATTGATTTTGGTCAACAAACCGCTGAACCGGCCGATTAAYCATTCAAACCGTTTGAATGATTTTGACCATTTTTCAATTTTTTAATTTTTTATTTTTTGTCCTCGAACCAATAACTACCTTGACCAGTTCGATCACCGGTTCGTTTTTAAAAACTATGCCTAAAAAACTGAATCATTATCACTTATTCTAGGCACATGAAGGAGATCGTATTTACATCGGTATGCTCATTTGGTTGACATTTGGCATTTTATTAGTATTTGTTCATGTTATTTGACGGCTTCATCTAGAAAAAATGGCAGCATTTTATGACCTTTTCGGCTCTACTGGGAACTGAGAAATCCCTTCGTTTGTTGACTTTTAGATGATGGGGACCCACAAAATAACCAGCTACACTAAACCGGTTAAATGACTTTTAGCAATTAATTTTTCTAGAACTTCTTTTTTATTTTCAAACTTATAAAGAGACTTTTCTTCATCCATATGAAATCGGGTTAGAGTTTGCCTATATTAACGGAAAGACGTGATAGCGGAAAATCTTACTGGTATCGACTAAGTGGTATTCATCAAAATTCATATGGGTGTTTTGATTGGTTAAAGTTCTTTTGATATTTATGATGCATGTTATTGGTTTTTCGTTTGATTGGAAAAAGATTTAATCATGTCAAAAGTTACGGTCTTGAAAAGACACATAAAGCCTGTTTTGAATTATTTTTGAGAAGATCTAAATAGAGTTTTTTCACATTTTTTTAATTTGTCTTTGCACAAAAAAAAAATACATCTTAACTAAACGACTTTCGAGCTTAAAAGATCCTAACACAAAAGCTCTCAGTGTCTTTTCACTGTCAGAGCTTCCCAAAGATCTTTTAAAAAAGACTTACCAAAGAACCCTTATGTCTTTATGGTTTCATAGATGTTCCCATTCAACCATCCATATAAGTTGAATAAATTATTCATATAACCCACCTAATTTCTTTGATGGAACCCACAAAAGTGGTAAGTTTTGAGTCTTTTGACTCTTGATGATCGAAAGGAGGTAGTAAGTTCATGGACTGAATCCACATACCAATCCTCTCTCTTAAAACCCACCTCAAAAGCCTAACCACATTCAAAATTATCCCTTTTCCATGGGAAGTTTTAAGAATCACTTATATGACTAATATCTATCACTATGGAGAAAAACCAACATAAGGGCTGACTTAGTGTAGGAGATTGGGCACAAAGCCATCTTACTGACTAGTGACTAGTGACTAGTGAGGACAGGAAACCATTTTGAAAAAAAAAAAAAAAAAAAAGAAAAAACAATTCCTCCAACCAAATACCCACTCCATTTTCCATCAAAACCACAGAAAACACAGCTTAAAATCCCCCTTTTTTCTGTTTTAATTTCATTGGAAAACATTTTCATTTTCAGCCCAATCCAAACATATTGGGCAAAGCTAGATTTGATGAATCATGAATACTTACAAAATGGGAATTCTTTCAGATAAGGGATCGCAATTTCTACGTTCCATGGACCTAATCCACGATGTATCGCCACCTGTGGCCAACCTTCCTTCAATTCTATTTCTACTTACTAAGCTAATGATTTAACGTCCAAAGTTCTAGCAAACATTGTTGGACTGATATATACTCTCTCTAAACATGTTCCTTTAGGCTCCAAATTCCGACAAGCCCAACAGTCTGAAAGGCAACCAAGTGTTTGGCCCACAGCATTTATCTGCAGCAGATATTTCCAGAAGGCATCTCCTGCACACCTCTCCCTCCACCCCCAAAAAATTTTACTGAAGAAGCATTAGAAAGGTCTAACTGTAAAAATTATTCCTTTGCAAGATATATTGCAAAAAAAAAGCAACAGAACAGAAACAGAAATGATAAATGTAAAAGAAAAGAAAATCACACAATCTTATTTATTAAGAAAGAATAGGAGAGAAACAACTTATTGAGACAATATTGTATGAATAAACATCATATTTTCAAAGTAACCAATACTTATACTGAATATGCAACATTAAGCCTTTTATTTCTGGTTTGTAACTGCTGTAAGCTCACCCAACAACTTAGCTATCAAAGGCTTGAGAAGATTAAACCAGTGAAGGCATGCATCATCGATCACTAATTCCCTCTTCTCTTCTACCATGCTGTCACTGCTGGAATGCTCTGCTCATTTCTGAAGAAATTACCTGGGTCGACCTTGCTCTTCACATATACTAATCTGTCGAAGTTGTTCTTGAAATACTTTCGACCCCAGATGCTAGCTTGTGAGTAGCTTGTATTGCCCTTGTTGTTTGTTCCAATGTCAAGATCTCTGTAGTTGAGATATGCTTCCCTTGGCGACTTGGAGACATAAGGAGTCATGTATTCATACAGCTCCCTTAACCACTTGATTTGCCTATCGATTTCTTGAGTCCCATTTTTTTTCCAGTTCAAAGAGTACTGGATTTTGTATATGTTCCCTTTTCTGTGTGGGAAGGGAATTGCAGACTCTGAAATCTCACTCATCCTTCCTCCATAGGGATTTAGCTGCATTACAGGTCCCTCCATTTGAAAAAACCTTTTCCATATTCCTTCGAACACAAATTCAGGAATCGGTTCCTTAACATAGTCGGATTTCACCTTCTGGTTTCTCTTGCTCTGACGACTCCTGTCCAGTAAGATATCGTTGGTACTGTTTGGGAAGCCCCCAATATTCTTGATGGCATCGATCCAGCTCATTTCAGTACAGTTCTCTCGTCGCAGACCCAACTCTGGGAAGCTCTCGTTCATCAGAGGGAGGAGTTTGTCTATGGTACCAAGGTACAAGGACCTGAATGTAACTGCTATTGTTTTACCCCCTGAACGGGTTTTCGCGAGCCTCAGGTTGGCTCTCATGAATAGATCTTCATGGAGCTTATCTGCAATGTATTGCCACCTGTGGAGGAGCTTCGTTCCTCCTTCTTCAATTGTCTTGGATGGATTGAAAAGAGTTACAACTGGTGGGACTGGAACCAAATTCACTTTCCACCATAGAATGATTCCAAAGCTTGCTGCACTTCCTCCTCTGATGGCCCAGAACAGATCTTCTCCCATGGTTTCTCTGTGGAGAATTTTGCCATTTGCATCAACCATGTGTGCATCAACGACATGATCAGCTCCAAGTCCATATTTTCTCAGCATGTAACCATACCCACCTCCGCCGAGGAACCCAGAAACGCCTACAGTGGAGCAAACCCCACCTGGGAAGCCATGGACGTTACTCTTCTCTGCAATTCTGTAATAAAGTTCACCTAAAGTCGCACCAGCCTGAACCCACGCACTGTTGTCTTCTATGTCCACAGTGATGGTTTTCAGATTGGACATGTCAACAATGACGAATGGGACTTCAGCTCTGTATGAGATGCCCTCATAGTCATGGCCTCCGCCTCTTGTTCTGATCTCCAAGCCATTCTCTTTTGCACAGATAACAGCTGCTTGGACGTGGGATTCGTTCAAAGGAGTAATAACAAAGAGAGGTTTTGGAGTGTCAGACTGCAGGAACCTAGTATTTTGTATAGTAGAGGTGTAGATGGATTGATAAGAGGGGTTATTGGAGGAATAAACCACAGCGGAGATCGGAGAGGAAGGATTAGAACGAAGGGAAAGGCATCGGAGAAAGCTCTCCTCCACTGAGGCTGAGGTTGCCCATGRAACCAAAACAAGAATTGAAAGTAAGCAAAGTATTGCAGAAGTCAACCAACTCCCCATGTTTTGTTCTTCTTTCCTTTTGCTCTCTGGGTGGACGAAGCAAGGTTATCGGCTTGCCTATCCCTACTATATAGAAACTACCCCAAAGTAGCTTTTATGACATTAAACATGGAAAAGACTATTTTATCCATCATTTTTCTTTAAATTTTCAAAATGAAACATTTGAATAAACCTGCTTAAAATGCAGGCACCAAACCTCCCACTTAAGACTATAGAGTATGTTGAGGGAAGGGGATTTGTCTTCGTTTTCAGATTAAGATTTGATTTGATGGAAAARCTCTCCAATATTTGACTAAAAAAAGCTCTCCAACAAGATTTGATGGATGTATAATGCCTTCTAGTTCCCTTATTTTACCATCTTTACAWAGCTCTGTTTTTTCTCTTCTTCATATGTTGTGCAGCTACCGAGAAGATTTGGGTATAAAATACAATAAAAGAAAAAAAAACATTTGTTTATATTATTTTATTGATGGATCAGCAATTTACATGCAGTCTTTATACCATTTTACTCTCTCTCCAGTTTTACAGAGGGCACAACGGGCTTTGTAAGAGATCTGAAATTCTGAATGTGAGAAGGTGAAGTGGTGAAGCGAGGTTGTTTGTTCCTGATCAGGCTGTGTTTGTTTGTAGTACAATGGTGGTGGAGGGATTGCCCGATGGTTGTGATGGGAGTAAAGTTGAATCAGCAAAGCAGGGAGTTACTGACATGGGCACTTGTGAAAGTGGCCCAGCCTGGAGAGAGAGTGATTGCTCTGCATATGTTTTCAGCAATACTGGTGAGGAAGTTGGGATTTGGGAAATTAAGGTCATTTTGGTTCAACTCTCATTCTTTTTCATTCTTATTCAAGATAAAATTTTAAAATGTAMAAGAATGGATACAATGGGTAGAATGAGAAAATGTTTCTATGAATGAAATGAATCTTTTCAAACTAGAAGTGCCTTATGTTGTTCATTTTCATTCTTAAAAAAAAATCCATGTCAGTGGTCATAACATGCCAGTCCAAGTCTCCAATACCATTGGCATAGATGTTTACCGATGGATGGCTGGTAGTCAATGCCTGTCGGTGTAAGTTTCCATGACAATCTGATAGTAAATATCTATGGTGGTTTTGTAGAACTAGACCTGAGAGTTTCTTTAAAGACAGAAACTGAGTAAGATGGGGCATCATTATTTTTCATGTTGCAGGCTACCTCAATTTTTGTGCTACAAATTGATTTAGAGTTGTAAATTGGATTGTGCCACCCACGGCCCATCACTGTATTAGGTAGGCCATGTTTATTTTCAATTTTATTATACTATTTCATTCCAATTGTATTGTATTTCTTATATTTTATTTTACTATTTCATATATAAACAATTGTATACATCAAAATTCATATAAAATAAAATTTTAATATTTTTCAATTTTTTGTCTATTTTGTTAATTTATTTTAAAATTTTCATTCTTTTGAATTAAAAAAGAAATATGCCGCTCATGGCCTAGCCCAAGCCCACCTGGGGTCGTGCCATGGGCCATGCCAGGCCTAACCTTCGAAGTATCCCAAAGGAGGCAAGCAAGGCCCAYGTGCTGGTACAACATGGCCCACCAAAGCACAAGCTAACTGCAAGCCATGCCGGCTCAACACAACTCGATTTACATCTCTATGATTTTTATTGTAAAAAAATGGGACTCATGGCAATAATTTTGTAACCAAACACTCTAATGTTATTCATTCTTACCTCTTCTTACCTAAAATGAATAAGAATTAAAAGAATAAGGCCTAGAACAAAACCAAACATGGCCTAATTGTTTCTAAGTTTGTTTTTGTTGACCAATTGTTAAGTGTTGATTGTGGCTTGTGGGTTCTGTTTTCTGGTTACTCTTAGTTTGAAAGGAATACAAATACAAATATGTACATTACCAATAGATACAAAATAATACAAATTGTAAGGTTTTACACTCTACATATTTGTATTTGTACTCCTTCCTGACTAAGCTTTGAAAATTCATGAAAAAATATGATAAATTAATGCTTCTTTCGCTTATTAAAGCAATTGATAAAGTTCTGGCTGTTTATGAAGCATGTTTAACTTCTTTGTTCATTTGATCTCTTATATAACCCATTGTGTCCTCTATAAAACTAGAGAGAGAGAGAGAGTAAATTTGTATGAACAAACAAACTAAAGAGATCTGAAAGTGAAAAGGTGAAGTGGTGAACTGATGAAAGGACATTTGTTCCTTTATTACAGGTAGAGGCGTTCATGTCCATGGAAAGGAAGGTGTAATATTTAATGGAGATAATGCACAGCTAGAACAATTGTTGAAAATTTGGTTCTGTTAAGTTTTATCTTGAAAATATGAGGAATAATGGAGAGCAAAATCGATTACAAAAGGTACTATTGGGATTTAAAAAAATAATTATATTTCACAAGGTGTCACATGTGATCAGATTGTAATGCAACATTAATGGATAGTAAGTAAGGGAGGATTTAGTCAATTGTCAAGAAACTTAGGTATATTTTAAGACAATTTTTAAATAATAAGAGTAGAAATTAATTTCCTAAAGCTTAGGTGTAATTCAAGAGATTTGTCCCATATTTTTATGGGTCTTCTTCAAAACTAGAAATGRCAAAGGGGCATGGTGGGGCTGGGTTTTGCATGCCCCATCCCCGACCCTAAACTCAAATGCCCTATCCCATTCCTGCTCTGAATCCCATCAGGGCTAAAAATCCCAATCCCATCTCCAATAAGAAACGAGGATCCCCAAATTTGCCTCCCCCCCCCTTGCCCTAGTCATTTTTACTTGTAAATCTATTTTTTCCATTTTTTTAAAACCTTTATAAAATTATAGTATAATATATAATATTATAATATAATATATATTCAGAGMGGGTTTGAGGTCAGGATTGGGGAGGAATGRATAAATATCATCCCTGCCACATCCCCGGTCTCAGAATATTAGATTTTTCCGACGGTTGATCAGTGGTCAAAAAACAGGAGAATGACAGTTCAGCCTAGGGTCAGAATTTTTAAGCCCAAAATACAGTTGGGGTGGGTGCCAGATCAAAATTAATGCCAATTCACAGGTGGAAATTGGTGTATAGAATGAGGGGTTTTGACATTTTGAATGTTTATAGCTCTGCAGTGGAATTAGGACTTATCCGTACTTTTTCGGTCAAAAAACCCTGAAAATATAGTTTTCAAAACTGCACCAGAAAAACTAGGAACCAGTCCATTTTCCCCGCAAAACCTTTCTCAAAACCATTGATTTTGGTCAACAAACCGCTGAACCGGCCGATTAAYCATTCAAACCGTTTGAATGATTTTGACCATTTTTCAATTTTTTAATTTTTTATTTTTTGTCCTCGAACCAATAACTACCTTGACCAGTTCGATCACCGGTTCGTTTTTAAAAACTATGCCTAAAAAACTGAATCATTATCACTTATTCTAGGCACATGAAGGAGATCGTATTTACATCGGTATGCTCATTTGGTTGACATTTGGCATTTTATTAGTATTTGTTCATGTTATTTGACGGCTTCATCTAGAAAAAATGGCAGCATTTTATGACCTTTTCGGCTCTACTGGGAACTGAGAAATCCCTTCGTTTGTTGACTTTTAGATGATGGGGACCCACAAAATAACCAGCTACACTAAACCGGTTAAATGACTTTTAGCAATTAATTTTTCTAGAACTTCTTTTTTATTTTCAAACTTATAAAGAGACTTTTCTTCATCCATATGAAATCGGGTTAGAGTTTGCCTATATTAACGGAAAGACGTGATAGCGGAAAATCTTACTGGTATCGACTAAGTGGTATTCATCAAAATTCATATGGGTGTTTTGATTGGTTAAAGTTCTTTTGATATTTATGATGCATGTTATTGGTTTTTCGTTTGATTGGAAAAAGATTTAATCATGTCAAAAGTTACGGTCTTGAAAAGACACATAAAGCCTGTTTTGAATTATTTTTGAGAAGATCTAAATAGAGTTTTTTCACATTTTTTTAATTTGTCTTTGCACAAAAAAAAAATACATCTTAACTAAACGACTTTCGAGCTTAAAAGATCCTAACACAAAAGCTCTCAGTGTCTTTTCACTGTCAGAGCTTCCCAAAGATCTTTTAAAAAAGACTTACCAAAGAACCCTTATGTCTTTATGGTTTCATAGATGTTCCCATTCAACCATCCATATAAGTTGAATAAATTATTCATATAACCCACCTAATTTCTTTGATGGAACCCACAAAAGTGGTAAGTTTTGAGTCTTTTGACTCTTGATGATCGAAAGGAGGTAGTAAGTTCATGGACTGAATCCACATACCAATCCTCTCTCTTAAAACCCACCTCAAAAGCCTAACCACATTCAAAATTATCCCTTTTCCATGGGAAGTTTTAAGAATCACTTATATGACTAATATCTATCACTATGGAGAAAAACCAACATAAGGGCTGACTTAGTGTAGGAGATTGGGCACAAAGCCATCTTACTGACTAGTGACTAGTGACTAGTGAGGACAGGAAACCATTTTGAAAAAAAAAAAAAAAAAAAAGAAAAAACAATTCCTCCAACCAAATACCCACTCCATTTTCCATCAAAACCACAGAAAACACAGCTTAAAATCCCCCTTTTTTCTGTTTTAATTTCATTGGAAAACATTTTCATTTTCAGCCCAATCCAAACATATTGGGCAAAGCTAGATTTGATGAATCATGAATACTTACAAAATGGGAATTCTTTCAGATAAGGGATCGCAATTTCTACGTTCCATGGACCTAATCCACGATGTATCGCCACCTGTGGCCAACCTTCCTTCAATTCTATTTCTACTTACTAAGCTAATGATTTAACGTCCAAAGTTCTAGCAAACATTGTTGGACTGATATATACTCTCTCTAAACATGTTCCTTTAGGCTCCAAATTCCGACAAGCCCAACAGTCTGAAAGGCAACCAAGTGTTTGGCCCACAGCATTTATCTGCAGCAGATATTTCCAGAAGGCATCTCCTGCACACCTCTCCCTCCACCCCCAAAAAATTTTACTGAAGAAGCATTAGAAAGGTCTAACTGTAAAAATTATTCCTTTGCAAGATATATTGCAAAAAAAAAGCAACAGAACAGAAACAGAAATGATAAATGTAAAAGAAAAGAAAATCACACAATCTTATTTATTAAGAAAGAATAGGAGAGAAACAACTTATTGAGACAATATTGTATGAATAAACATCATATTTTCAAAGTAACCAATACTTATACTGAATATGCAACATTAAGCCTTTTATTTCTGGTTTGTAACTGCTGTAAGCTCACCCAACAACTTAGCTATCAAAGGCTTGAGAAGATTAAACCAGTGAAGGCATGCATCATCGATCACTAATTCCCTCTTCTCTTCTACCATGCTGTCACTGCTGGAATGCTCTGCTCATTTCTGAAGAAATTACCTGGGTCG